TTATTATTATTATTATTTTTCTCATCCATCCTTGTAACAGGCCAGCATGTGGCCAAGCATTCCCCTAGTGGTCAGTCAGGCTACCCTGGGCACGGCCATGGGACTGACCACCAGCATTCAGATGATTGGCATTGGAGTCTCCAACGTGGTCGTTGGGCAGATCCTCGGAGATGAGGACAGGTAAACTTTTTGGGTGGGTGGTTGGCGGGTGCTCTGGTGTGGTTTGCTTCTTCTTTCCTATCAATCAAACATCTATCGTCCTTATCTCCCCTTCTTTTTTTTTGTGTTTGTTACTCTCTTGTAACACCTCTAATCTTCTGGTGCTCATATGACCTTATGCAGTTGCGAGCGCTGTAAAACCTGTACTAAAAAAACTTTTTGATACTTATTTTTCTCCTGTATTATTATCAGTAAAGTCCGTTCTGATATCGTATGTCAACTGTTGAAATGTGCCAGTCCCAAAATTTAAAGGGAGACGTACACTCTCGGAAAAATTTTCTAAACGAACGACTTTTATTCAATTTCATGTAATTGTGCAAGAAGTTCATAGGTAAATAGGATGTACTAGGGGTGAATTTGTTGAATTTTTCTGAAAAATGGGTCTCTGTGGCGGCCATCTTGGATTTTCAAACCAGTTTCTTAGTGCAGAAGAATTTCATAGTAAATATTGAATTATCAGCCTGAAATTTGGCACACAAGTACAAACCTATATGAACTGGGGTTCCATGTAAGGATTTTGACCTATCTTTAAAATTAAAAAAGTGAGCCCAAAGTCATTGGACCCCCTAGAGTCAGTTGACGAAATTTTGGGGTACATATTACAAAAAAATTGAATATTTCCCCAAGTTACCAATATTTCCCAATTCCCTTAGATAGATCCCCAGATTCGATCTTAAAGAACATGTACACCAAATTTGAAGCTTCTAGCTTATGTAGTTTTTGAAAACTCCTTGCACCCAGGAGGTCAATGTATCAAAAAGTAGATTTTGAGAAAAACAAAAAACCCAGGGATTTTTAAAAGGATTTTTTGAGCAATTTGCACTTTTCAAATGTCCTTTTAGGTCATTTAGGGTGTTTTTTCAACAGTTTTTTCATTTTGACTCGATAAAACAGATGTCAAAGGATGTTTTTCCACAAAAAAAACCAAAAGTTGGATAGTTTGAAAAATTGTATCGATATTGCCTTGGATCGCCGACCCGAGTCTTCCCTTGAAATAAAACAGAACAACAAAAATACTGCAGCTTTTTAATCTGTGGTAGTGGTTCTATGAGTGTTTGTTTGTGGCCTTTACCCTGATCCAGGGTGAGAAAGGCAATGATGATGAGTGGGTCTATGAGTTCAAAGAAATATTTTGTCAAAATTCTCAAATTCTAAATGTTGGCGAAAACAAGAAAAGAAACGTTAAGTAGGTACAATGTTAAAATTAAATTGATTAATTTTTCCTCTTTCTTGAAATATTTTGCTTTCTTGGCTTAGGTTATTTGAACAGCTTGCCAATGATATACATCTTCAGAGTAGGTGGTTGGCGGGCGTTCTGGTGTAGTTTGCTGTTTCTTTCCCGTCAAACATCTTTTGACCGTATCTCTCCTCTTTTTTTTCTTAATATATGTCACTTTCTAGTAACACCCCAGGTCTTCGGTTCTCATACGACCTATTTGTGTTGCAAATGCAGTAAAACTCTCAATAAAACTAAACCAAAACATCTTTGGAAAGACGTTTTGTTTTGTATGTGATTGCTCTCTTTAGATGTAACAGGTGGGTGGTTGGCGGGTGCTCTAATGTGGTTTGCTCCTTCTTTCCTATTCAACATCCATCGTCTTTATCTCTCCTCCTTTTTTATGTTTGTTACTCTCTTGTAACACCTCTAATCTTCTGGCGCTCATATGACGTTATGCCGTTGCGAGCACCGTAAAGCTCTACTAAAACTAAAGATGTAACAGTGGCAGACAGAAAGTAGACTTAAGTGAAAGCAAAAGAAAGGGTGATGGGTTGCAGAAAGGAAATCTGATGAAGAATACTTCAATTTTCCCTTAAAACAGGTTGGCTCTGGTTCACTCACTCACTCACTCACACACTTGCACGCACAGACACACAC